AAACATGTTTACCAAAAAACTATGAACACAACTGATTTCTGGAAAATTTCCCCAAAGAGCATGTTGCATTGTATAGTAAGAGCACGGTGCCACATTCTTAGAATATTATTAATCAAAGTTAAAATGTAAGCAAATTTACATTTACAAGTTCGATAACAGAATATTGGCCTTATAAAATATGTCACCCGACATGATCGCCCCTCTGCCTAAATACGTCAATAGCTCGCATGATTATATTACGTACACACTATACTACACACTTTAAAGGCGCACCTGTGTAATATCATATTGTAGTGTATGCGATAATGGAGTTCTACACGCAAGACACTACGTTTCACAGTGTAATAGCGGTGGCGGAGAAACGCGAACAAAAAAGACGAACGGAATTAATGGTCTCTCATCGTATTGTGCAACGAGCGTTCGTTCAATAACCGAAAAACGCTGGAAACGATGTAATACACAAATATAAGGTATGAATGTATGCTGCGTGTGTATATATAATAAGCGTATGTATTTGAGCGTGTATGTGCGCGAATGTGCACATAGGCGCCTGTATAATGCAAAAAAAAGAGAGAGAGCGATGTGTTACCATACGGCCGTGTGCGCGTATAACGAGTGAGGAATTAATGACAAAAAGCGCTTTACGCCCAATTGGCACGGATAGTTGAACTTACACTGGTGCGAAAGTTTGTCCCACGTAAAAACACTACTGCCACCACCATCACTCCCGCAAGAGACCCGTTTCAAGAGAAACTTTATGATCACCTCACCTGCCACCGCCACCACGTTAAGACTACATAAATACAGGAATTATACTTTTTCCAGATCGCCGTAGCGGATACGGATTAATATCCAAAGTGAAAATCACGTTTTGTGAGATCTGCGCACCTTATTTATATATATATATTAATGCAACGCATACGAAACCGAGGGAACTACCTTTATTTGAAATTTTGCACGGCAGACGAATCTTTCATTAGACGTGTACGTAGGTATGACTGTCAGCAATGAATATAAGAACAACGACACATACTGCCTTGATCATATCCTTGATCATACATTGATATTGATCTACCTTGATCATATAGTATATGGAAGACGCACAAACGTTGATGATTCTCTCGACAAGAAATATTCTATAATTTTTTACCGTCTTGAATCCTACAGCGATTAATTTACCATCAGTGATGTAGTCCTAAACAAGTTTATGGGTACTTACCTAAATCATCCTAAATCATTGTAAAAAAATATATACACAATATTTTGAACATTATTAAATTATTTAAAAATAGATTTGTGTACAAACGTTCTCTGTACAAGTCACGATTAAATTTAGTACTATCTATAGCCATGGTACAAGTAAACCACGGACTTTTAAATTTTTTTTTTTTGGCAGTAATTTAAAAAATTATGCTTATATTTTTTTATTCATTAGATATCAAAATTTAATAAATATTACCTAATATAAATATTATTTACTGGGTAACGTAAATACGTCTTGTTCACGGTCCGTATACCACGGTTTTCGTTGAGGGTACACGCATAATTATAAAACTAGGAGGGGGGTACACACCGTGTACCCCCATCTACCCTATACTACATTACTGTTTACTATCTTACACTTGCGATATTTTTTTTCAATCCAACTTTGATTATTATACAAGCCATAGTATCGTTAGAGCGTTGTAGGTTAATTTAGAATAAATTATACTCCCGTTACGGCCGTAAATTCATCCGTTACTTTTCACTACTTAGTTATGACTGTTGACATTATTTAAAAGTTAAATAAATAAACAATTTCATGATGATACTAATAAAATGAAATCAATACCAAACTTTATTAATAATTATATATTTCGTATTCTTACTTCTAAACATTAAACATTAAACATTAAATATATAACTACTAAATATATAGTTTATTTGCAAAAAAAGGCATTTAATTTAGTTAGGATCCTACACATGGTTTAAAATAAATTTAAGAACACTCGCAAAGTAGACTTTCCGAGCATGTTTAATATTATTTTCAAATAAGGTGACGTGCATGTCCAATAAATAATTTATATTATACACTTTTTAAATTTAGACCAAACAAATAATAGTGGTACATTTACTGTTTCACGCCTGTAGCAAATAAGTCTTTCCCTCATCTGAAGACAGTATAGCTTATTTCTAGAATCTCTGAGCTGAACCGTTGCAAATTAAACTATTAATCCACAACTCATTAATTTATCAATGAAATAGGATGTGTAATTCTTTGATTATTTCGAATAATACTCGAATAAATATATCAAAAAAACTATTATGTTTAACGTACTAGTTTAAAATTTAATTTTTTCCTTGAACCTCAAATATTACTGGCAATAAATTAGTATTCTATTTATCAAGTGTTTTTCGTTCTATAAACAATAAATCCACTTTATTCAAATTAATCGTTTCGTCATTCACTTTAATACTCTTGAATAACATTTTTTAACAATATTAAAATATTACCTTTAAACATAAATCCACATTTAATACCATAGTAAATATATATTATGTATGAAACTTTTTTGTAGTAAAACTTCATTTTTAAAAATGAATGAAATAAAATAACGATTAATTTAAATACTATTTCCAGAATATTAATTACATAGTATATACGGACTTGATTATAATCCAGACTGTACCACTCGGAATGGATAAAATCGAAATATAATTTAAATATTTTTTTTACTTTCATGAAATTCTGTCCTCATTTACATAGCTCAAATGAAATTAAAAAATAAATAAAACAATCCTTGAAATTATTATTTAAATATTTACTTAATCAAGCCGGGTGAAACAACAACCGTAATCGCACAAAAAATATCAAATGCAATCAAACTGCTCAAACGATCACGCATAACGATATAGTACAGATGCAAACTTTTAAATTGTTTCAGACGACTATACATGTTATGGAATAGTTGAATGCTTTAATAATGTCTTATAAACACCCATGTCTTTGGTGAAAATGTTACCGTTGTAAACCTACAGCAATTTCCACTTTTATAGATATTGTTCATAGCCTAGCGGCTTGAAACATACTAATTGTCAAACTCATTATCGAACAGTACATTTCATTTTTATAGTTCCACTTCTTGTTATATTTTGATAATTTTGCGCTTGTTGATAGCTGTCTATTTTATTTGCTTTGGACATACTGCCCTATAATTGACTCACGCCTTGATTAACATGAATGTATTGAATCATTTTTTTGCATTCCATGCATTTCGTTCCTTCTTTTTGCATTTATAATTTGTGCTCGTATCTTACGATTTTTGTCAAACATACTATTACTTTTTCTTTAGTAGAGGAGACTATCACGTATTCTTTATGATAAAACAATAACAGGAAAATAATAATAGTAAAGAAATTTACGGGCATTACTGTAAAACGCATGCACTCCAAGAAACAACCTTGTAATGGGTCCTCCGAAACGTTAGCACAATATTCGGAAGATATGGATAGGAAACTATAATTATTATTAAGCTATTAATTCACCTTTAAGTCCATAATATATAATAGTATACGTGGATGTCCGAATCGAAATTAACAATAATATGACATCGTACTATAAGACGTGAATCCATGACAATCACATAACCATGATAGTTTATCGTGAATTATAGTAACTGAAACTAAACTCGCATTCACCCACCGGTCTCGTTGACGTGATATTACCCTTACCGATGACCAATTGGAAACAACAAACTTCAGCTATTATTCGAAATCAGTTCAATCAAGGAGTTTTGTAACCTTATCGAACCGCACACCTATTTACGGTGTAAACCAGGCATCTCTCTCTCTCTCTGTCTCTCTCTCTCTCTCTCTGTTTATTTTTACCAGCGTTATAATGTCTCGTGTATATTTGCATAGCACTTGGATGGAATAGTTATTATTTCGAACGAATTCAGGACATGTTAAACTTTCGTACATTATAGATGAAACTTGGTTAAGTGTAAACGTTTTTCTGAAATTATATTTTAGTTTTCAACTAAATCTTTAATTAGATCCGAAAATCGACCACAGGTATTAGAAGATTCCTAACAATTACCGCAAGACACGGACAAAAATACTGTAGAATTTTCGATTGTTGCGTAAATTTGTCGCAAAGCGGCTCCACTGAGAATAGTTTTAAGAGTTCGATAAATCTTGTGTTTGAATCTAAAATAAACTAATTATACGCCACAATATACTTACAATTATTCATTAGATATAAGCGTTCTTTTAAAGCATTCGAAAAAATTATTTTGATAATAGTATTTGGATATTTTTGTTGTATTATTATGACATTCAAAATACGTATTTTTTTTAAAATATTTTTTAACCTATCTCACATATGTATTCATCACATTAAATAAAGTATAGAATGTATATAATATATAAAAATAGATAGTTAACGAGATATTTCTCATAATACACACACAACACACGCACACTCACTAAAATGTTAAAATTAATAAATATTTACGTGTGTTGTAATACATGGTTGTACTTTATGTGACGAATAACTAACAAACATTTAATAATATCATCAAGTGGCGATAGTAATAATGTTTAACCCATAAAATGTAGAGTCCTCAAAATTATGTGAATTATTTTCTTCTCATGTATTATGAATATGATAACAATATGCACATTCAGCCGCTTAACAGTACTACATTCAATTCAAACGTGTTTGACCCTTTGTAGAGCACTATAGAGTGCTTAATAATATTGTATAATTCTTCAAACGCATCTCAACTAATGGGTTACCATGGATAGAGGGACAAAGGGTATACTTGTAGAGTCTTCATGCTCTCAACACTAACCGACGTTACCCTATTTCAACTACGATCCGCAAAAACAATTTCAGTAACTCTGCAATTGTTAATCGTGAGGCTTCCTAATCTCAATATTAATTTTAATTTCGATGCTGCTATCACGACCGATATTATTGTCGGTGAAACGTTTGACTGAATTCTTTCATGTTTCAGGTGACGGAATCATACCACTGACTGTGCCTACACAGACGCCCGACACGTGTTACCTGCAAACGCTGACCGACTGTGTGAACGGTACCACCAACTGTACACTGCAAACTACGTCTCGGCTGCAACTGGTCGGATCGGTGCGCGACGTTATCGTACAGACTTCCAGCAAGTTTTACAAGCCCGGCGAAACCAGTGAGTTTCGATAAAACACATTATAATCTATTTATTTTATTAGCGTATCTGACATGCTCTTAATCTATGATCCGCTTTTTCGAATATCCGAACAATTCTAAAAAGTATTATTCATTTTAAAATGTTTTTTCACACGTTTGTTTTATGTGATAACTTGAATTTTTTTTTCCTCTCAACCATCAAAACTCTACTGCAAATTTCACCATAAATTATGGTGATCTGACTACTCAGAGAATACTCTAAATTTGATGAAAATATAAATATTTTGGAATATTTTCGATTAAACTTCGATAAAAGTACCTGAGTAAAACAGTATGTTTTAATTTTTATAAATACAATCATAAATTTCTTAATTGATACTCTAAAAAAAAATGTTTAACGATTTAAACACATAAAAATCTTTTATAGAACCAGTGTAGTTACACCTTATGAATATAAAATTTTAATAAATAATAAATTAACGCCTTCTTTATTTTGACTTTTATAATAAAGCTATAGATCAACCGAACCAATAAATTCCAACAATTTCAAAACAAATTATAAAATATACGTAAATTAAAACAACTTAAGGTTTATTCAAATATATAAATAATTTTTAAAATAATTTTTGATTAAGATGTTAAATCATACATAACAACATATGTGACATATATTATTATAAAAAAATAACAAGATTTTCCTCAAGTATTTCATTATTATCATAAAATATTAAAAAATAAAACACTAAATTCTTTAATATAATTCCATAACAACTTAAAGAGCGTTTAATTAATTTTATATTTAACTAATAAATCATGTTAAGTAAAATGTCAAATCTAATCAAACTCAAAACTGGGAAAACTACTTATTTTGTATTTTTCCAAACATTAAACCGATCCCTAAGTTGTCGGTAATAAATTGTATAATATATAAAAATAGACTACTTAACTAGAAATACACAACCTTGTAAGACCAATACAAATATTTTACTTGATTCTAATTCTTAGTCATATTACCTTCCGAAACAACATGTCGAGTTAACAATTTATGGAAATATATATAATATATCTAATAACATTTTTAACAACAAAATAATAATAAATAATAATAATAATAAATAAACAGGATAATCGTATGCGTACATATTATTATATATATATATGTTCGTATACCTCCATAAATGTACTAAGTAAATTATATATTAAGTTGATTAAAAAATATAAAGATGGTTTATTAAAATAAATTAATATACTGCAACCACTATGTACAACTAAAACTATGAAATTAAATACACTCATGCAAAAATAAATAATGTCATAATAGAGAATAAAACTGACACGCGGTTGCGCATTATTAATGTTTATATTTTATTACCTAATCAAAGACTAGTAAAATCTATGAATTATTTCTATACTAACAATGTGAGTATTGTAATATGTTTAAAATACGTTAACATAAAGTAGTATAAACTCAGCATCACAATGAAAGTAAAACAAAATAACTCTAAATTACCCTACATGTCCCTTACCAATCTACCCTTTACACATAAATATATACGAATAAGTTCTATATTCTAAAATCCCATTTTGCCTAAAATTCCCAACGAAGTTAAATGCACTTTTTTAAATGTATTGTGACCCTCTTTTTTTACGTCCAGTTAAATCCACAAATTGTGTTACATGGCGGTAACTAGTGAAATATAAAAGAAAAGAAGAACTATTTTTTTATACCACAGGATTTTTGTTAACTCCCTTTGAGACTTGGGTACAAATCCTCTGTTTGTTTAAATTCGAATAGTCATCCCTTTCTCTCTCTCTTTCTCTCTCATTTTCTGTTGTATTTTTTGGCCCCGATCCCAAATAAAATATACAAAAAAGCGTTCACCATGTTAAAGAAAAGAAAACAACGGGTGAGTATCAAGAATAGCCTTTAAGATTATTAACGCAGCTTTAGTAAATAAGTGTTGGGCCTTTGGCGTTGTATACAAAAGCATTTGACATTTGTTTGGCCTCCATCCGAGGGAGTGTCAATTGTATAAGCGTCAAATAAATTAGAATCCTTCGCACAAGTCCTATTTTAATGGACTTGATATATACGTTTATTCTCTCTTTTATTCCGCTATAAACTAATTGTTTTCAATATAAAATCCTATTCCATATTTTCATAACATAACTCCCTGTCTACTAAATACCTATACTGCACTCATTATTTAACTATTCGGCACATGTGTATTCGACAACATTCATTGGCTCCGGTCATTTCGAAAATCAAAGAACTTTGGGATGGCAGTTATGTACATGTATACTAAACTAACTTTTTCGACGTAGTCGATCATAGCTGGCTCGCGTTAAGTGAACATTTAAACATCTATGCGCAATGCAAACGTTGATTATTCATAAATGGCAAAGTCTCCATTATGACGTCAACTCGGAGTATTCCAACAAACTAACGACCCAGTCTTTCAATAAAACAGTATGAGAAATTACGAATTAAAACTAATCATCCATTATCTCCACATGTTTAGACGTTTCAGACACACTTAAACGGAGAATCTATACAAATGTTATGTTAAATTACTATTTTCACATCCGATTGGTTTTGTCACTCTCGGAAATACCTGGAAACGTTATCATTCTCGAAATTTTCCAAAAATTGCGAGAAAAGATATTTTCGATAGTATTTGTATAACATTCTAAAACTTTTTTTTCTGTAATAATTGTTTTTTTTTTTTTCAAAAAATAAAATTAATTTATGTTAAACTGTAACCATTTAAACTATTAGACTTTAAAACTGATTGATTGAATAAATTTAATCAATAAAAATAATTTTAAAATAAAAAAAATAAAATTTGTGAAAGGTTTTTACGTCGTAAAATAAAATTGTTGATTTTATATTTAAATAAAACCTACAGAAAATGTTATAGCCTATTTAAAAAATTATTTATATTATAACTAGTACATATTGATGAACACAAAATAGAAAATAATAATAAATAATCTATACAAACATATAAACATTAGTTAATTATGAATATAAAAATTACAATAAATAATTAATTTTAATGAATATTTTATAGTAAAAAAAAAAAATTGTTTACCAAACTCATAGTGTTATATGTAGAGCATGGTGATATGTACTCGCCAAGCTGTTGATTCGCTATTGAAGTTTAGCACCGTCTAATTTGTAAATAATTGAGCACAAAATAATTTCTCAGCGACCCACTTTAAATCCACCTGGCATAACAGCAACCTTAACATGCTGTCAAATAAGCTACAGGATTACTATATAAAGCTACTCAAGTCTACATCCAATCAATTACCTCATACGAAAAAATAAGAAATATTAAATATTTGTACACCAAATTAATCAAAAATTAAAAAGATTATTGCAATAATAACTATTATTTAAAATGCTTATGTAATATAAAAAACTTTTTATGTTCTCTAAAACGGTTTTACCTTACCGATGATATTTAAATTGTTCCATATTACTTTAATTAAGCAAAATTCTGTTGCTTCATCTCTATAATATCAGATTAATAACTTCATAAATATAATAGTTTAGTATACATGTATATTTAAAATTTAAATTATATCCCATGCTTATTTAAGCACTATAAACTGTGTAAAGTCCAAAAAATCGGTTTTTATAGTAATATCCATATATTTTGATAAATTATTGGTTGAAATTAATTTATAAGAACACTTTATTGCTTTATATCGTAACATTTTCTACATAATATTAGATACATATATTATTTTAGATCATTAGCGAAGAGAACATTTTTAATAACCCCTTGCATATAAATTAGTATACTCAACATAATATTTAATAACATTTACGACACGCTCTCCTTAAGGGAAATCGCTCATTCTTACGTCCAATAAGATTCAGTAACTCCACCTACAATCTAGACTAACTTTAAGCAACCATAGTATTATAAGATATAAAATAATTACCCAGATTGAATTGACGCTTTTTTTCGTGAACACGATAAAAATATTGTTGCACGTGATCAATAACTAACGTTCAACTGTAAAATAATAAAAAATACGACTTCAAACATTCACAGCGCATAAAAGGTTCATCAAACACATTCATTGTGCCAAAAAGTTTCAACTCTAGAGCGCGTACTAAATACCTAATTTGCATACTCATCTCTAACGACTGATGACGTCAGAGTTTCTAAAATTACAAATGTCTTTAACATTTAATTATACTCATCGTATATACGTCTACGAAAACAATTCTGTTTTATAAACGTTTTCATTCTCAACTCGGGAACTATCGTAATCCTCTCTCGTAAATGACTTTTATACTTTAAGACCATCCGGCGGAAAATCTCCGCCGGAGACTTGAAAATAACTGATGTCGTAATCTTTAGTAAAAATAATTACCTGACAATTATTTAATAATGTGTCACCAACGAAACGGTTATATCTTTGTCAACACGATTATCATGTTTGGTAAATAACATAATATTGCGTTGTAATGTTGATACGACATTAATGTGCGAGGATTTATTTTTACAAAACGATTTCTAAAACTCGTTCAAACAATTTTCAACCAACTGACCATGTCTAATTTCCATTAAATTTTATTTAAATGACGATTAATGAATGTAAAGAGGTTGATTTCTAGCGCGTACTTTCAAATACGTATAATTATAGGTGTCACTTCGATAAACGCTCTACCAGTTTTATTTATTCCACATCAGTTTTGCACCAGTTCTATATTATTAGACAACGACTATAATTCTTATCGATTATGAGTGCGAAGCGGGATTATAAATTCATTCTGGAGAATGTGCTGCCTCACTAGCCAAAGTTTTATTCATAAAACGGTAAATCATCAAATCTCACATGTCGATGAAAATACAGGAGCCTACATCCAAAGCATTAAAAGGTTAGGTTAAATAAGGCGAGTTCCTCTTCAAAATTTGCAGTCTCATCTTAATTACTATTGCTAGCGATTTTATCATCAAGATAGTCCTGATCCTTTTCTAGTCTTGTTGGAAGACATTTAGAAGGTGTATCAACAATACAATCAAACAAAATTACGAGTAAAACGACGAATGGTAGAACGCATATCAAAACAAAACTAGTCCATAAAGCGCATACCGAATTAGAAACTTATCGGTAGAGCGCAAACCGAAGTGGCACCCAATTATAAATAAATTTACACTACAACTAAGAGGCTCTTTCAATAACAGGTGGGATAAATAAATACTTTAAAAAATGAAAATTTAAAATTTAATCCGAACTAATTAAACGAACTTTTACTATAATACATGATTTTTTTCTTCAAAATTAACTAGCATTTTGAAGAATCGAAAAATAAAAATAATTTACGAAACTAAAGAAGCGAGCAGTAATTCATAAAAATAAATTATAAATATTTTCTAACCATTGATTCATAAACACATGAAAAAAAAAATCACTAACAGGCCTCTAATATAAAATTATGTAAAGCATCATGTCCACCGATCGTGTGAAGATAAAATAAAATATATTTTATATTTATAATATACATACCTAAATACGAGTATATCTTTGAAACACATCACATTTATAATAAACTTTAACATCAAACGTAAAGGATTTATTAAATTATTGTGACTTGTGAGTTAAATTGCATACAATGATAAAATAATAAATACACACAATCAATTATAGTCAAAGTTTTGGGAGTAGATTAAAAATAAATATGCACTTAGAAGTTATGAAAGAAATATAATAGTTATTTGGTAATATTTATCGTTATTATTACTATAGTGCTAGAAGTAACTAGAAATAGGTTCTTCTGTTTTTTTTTTTTTTTTTTCATAACGATACTAACCTTACTATCTTGAAACTAAAACAAAATTAACTGTAAGTTAGTTCTAACTGAATTGAAGGGTTTCTATTATTTTTCACTATATAGATACTCATTTTCATCATGTCAAATTAACATTTGTTTCGAGTTTACTGGAGGTAATTCTAATAGTCTGATTAAAAGGTTATTGTTAAGACTTATAATACCATAATATTATATAAAATCTTGGGTATTTTAACAGCTAAGTCAATACTGAACTATGAAAATAAATGTGTTAATATATATATATATATATATATATATATATATATATATATATTTGTATATAATTTATATTTATTTATATATTAATAAATTATAAATTATTTATATACGTATAAACAAATATTTAGAATAATTATTAAACGATGATTGATTTATTCCTAAGCTATAAGACAAAATTAATAAAGAACAATACTACATGAATTCAAAATGTGAACGTATTAAACAATAATATCTCAAAACGTACGAAATATAGCCATTGATTTAATTTTAAACCAAAATAACATGAAAATGTATACAAACATTTTGCATGTCCTGAAACGCGAACATATTATTCGTCTCGCCCACTGTTATCATTCATTGTTCAACAATATAATACACTGCAGGGCGTTTTGATAAACATAATTTCATTTTCAGTCGAATTTTGGCTTTTACCATTGGACCATTATCTGCGGATTTCCGACGATGTAACCATGGACGTTTACATCAAAAACCCAAAGGGCACAAGAGTAGCACTTTGGGACGACGTTCCATCCAGCCACAGTGCCCCATTTCGCTTCGTGTTATCTGAGTTGGCTGTCATCGGTGAATGGACGGTAGAAGTGGCCACCGAGGGGGTGACATTCAAGACAGCAGTAAACGTGAGCAACGCGAGAGGTGCTAATGATCCACCGAAGCGCGAACAGACAATAACCGAAGAACACTTCGTGGAGCTGCGATTCGGGCACGAAATGAGACACAAATACAAACCCGGATTACCTTTTCTTGGAAAAGTTAGTACCTCTTTTCTACTTAAAATCACCAAAAATATAAATAAGTTTTAAAAAAAATGGCTCTGCAATAAAATATAAAAAAAAAAAAAATCACACTTATAACAAAAACATTTAATGAATGTCGATCGAACTCCAAAATGTTTTCCAATCGTACTGATATAACAGTAGGTCAAGTAATATAATTGGCGTTTATCATTAATTCTAAGAGCATCTCATGTATTTACAGGTCGAAGCTATGAGTTCAGAAAAAAATCTCAGAGTTCGCGTTAAAGTATTCGACAACTCCACTACAATATACAGCCAAGACGTTGAAATAATTCAAGGCGAGGGAACATTTGTCGTGCCGGCCATGCTATCAGACAATGAAATAATTGTGCTTCAAGTGAGTAAAATATGATTAAAATATTATTAACTAAATTACTTATGATTATAATAATTCTAATATTTCTTGATGTACCAAAATATTTGAAAAATACTCTGATAAGTATATTTATTTTTGCAATTCATCAATGAAAATAAAACGTATCGCGAAATAAATTTAAACAGAAAATAAAAAAATTGAAACTTTGACATAGGAAATATCATTAAAAGCCCACACATTGATTTTACTTTGATGTATAGTAATTTAACATCAAAATAATTACTTATCGTTTTCAAATATGCTAACATTGTTCATTAAAAAAACAGGCTGAATTAGTATCAGTCGAAGGCAAAGAAATTGAAGGTCATTACGTACTGGCGAAAGAATTTATACAAAAATGGAACTCAACTTCAGACTGTTACTTGTTGGTCGAAGGAGTTGAACATACATTGACGGTAAAAATGAAAATAAAAATTATGTAGTTTGAACTCTATAGTTAAATGAAAAAACACTAATCCACGGTGCACTAAAATACGATGTAAATAGGCCAACGAGGAAGCAGAAGTAGTAGTGCTCTCGTCATGCCCGTGTAACCGATACGTAAATTATGTTGTAACAACCGAGGGACACGTGGCAATTTGGCAAAAGTACAAACCAGTAGTGCACATGACAAAAATCATGGATCAAGTAGACATTTGCCGATTCAACTTAACGTACGTCTTTTTCTTTCCATGTTCAAACTAAATATGTATAAATAATAACATTCATCATTTTCAGATTTAATGTTGATCCCGTAATGGCTCCCACTAGTCATCTATTGGTTTATTATACTACCGAAAAAGGAGAAACTATAAACGACGTAATCAGCTTCAATGTTAAACAAACCGATCCAAAAGTATTGAACTTTTATACACAACAATTATTTATTGTAATATTATTTTAAATATGATAATCTAAAAAATGTTTTGTTTAAATTAGGTGAAAATTGGTTTCAAAGACAATAAAAACAATTGGTACCCGGAAGAAATAATGGAAATCAATTTAATGGCAGAAGAAAACTCATTAGTATGCTTAGTTGGGGGTAGGGGAACAGAAAATATCTCACCATCAAGGTTAGTTTTTTATTAGTTCATGGTGGAAAAAATTAATTATTTATATAATATATCTCATGCATAATTTAAAATATATGTTCGATTATAGAAACATGGATGATGATACAGACCTTCTTGAGTCCGGATTGTTATTCTTGGAAAAGCGATTAGACGGAAAAGTGACGACTTCCAGACAAAGCGATTTGTACCCCAGGCATCATAGCTTTTTGGATACATTTTCAATGGATCAATTGTGGACATGGAAATGCGTGAATTTTACGTGAGTACATGATGGTTATATACTTAACGTAAACAAAATTAAAATATTTTTAAAATAATATAATCATAATATCTTACAATTGTAATATGATTTACGTACGAAAGCAGTATATACACATTTCAATCTTATTAAAACGATTTTTTCATTATCTACTTATATATGTGAAAAAAAGTTACAATTAAGATGTTCAACTTCCGTAAGGAAAAATATGAACTGTTATTTGTCAAGTATTCAAAACCACAGCAGTCAGTTTTTGAATAAGACGGTAGAAAAACTTTTATTCAAGACTTTTTCCCCGCAATTATATTAAGTTTAAAAAGCTTTTGAGGGTAACCAGATGGTCACGATTAATATAGCTGTACAAAACAGCCGTTTAAATAAACTTTGGAAGGTTGAATAAAATATTTAGTCTATTCATATCTACAGACTTCCAGTGGTCGTTGGAAATAAAGAACTCAATAACAATAATTTAATTGTTGAGGTTTTTCGCATAAAGTAATAGTATTACAACCCTCATGATTTTTCAAATAAGATTTCATGCTTATAAAAATAATTCAAACTGAATGATAACTGTGCGAAGACAGTTGCTTCACAAATTTAGTGTCCAACCATTAATGTTGATTTGTACACAGGAATGATATCGTGAAAAAGGGCATGAGCATTAATGCACCGAACAAAGCAGGCCATTGGATGTTGCGTATGTTAACAATCGGCACAACTGGATTAAAGATTACTGACACATTAGACGTCAAAGTCACAAGTTCTTTGGAAGTAGATGTTCGAACACCGGTAGAAATAAACGTTGGAGAAACAGTCCAGACAGATATTTACGTCGCTAACAATGTCAATTCATGCATGGACGTAAGGCATCGTGCATAAAAAATAATAATAATAATACTAATAATAACGATTTGATACGCATAGGTAAATGCGCTACTATCGTTGAGCGAAGGAGCTGTATTCAGCAGCTCCAATCAGCCGTTTGTCGCGGAAAAAATGAGGCTAGGTGCTTACGGCGCAACGTCATTAATCGTTAGGATTACTGCGTTGAAAGAAGGATTAAAAAATCTGACAGGTAACTACGTGAAAAATGCTCTTTGTTTATGCAGTGCTGGTGAATATAGCACACTGTTTTATTCAATTATAGTTTTGTGCCACTCAGTGGCGTAATTAGAGGGTCAGAAGGGTTGTACTATTGATTCACGAAATTTGTATGGTTTTTCACTAATGAGATTAACTTATATTAGAAGAATCACGTAAATTAATTTATAGGTACTTATCATCATAAAATATGATACTTATATGTTTTTAAGTTCCTATAACTTTATGGATGTGGGAATAAAACTGCCATGAGTCTGTGCATGCAGGGTAATTTTTACAACTCCTGACAGTATACTCAAATTCACTACCGATGCTACTGCATGACATTAAATGTAACGTATAGGCGCTAAGTGAATCCCACTGTTTCAGTTGATATTTCGGGTTACGTGAGTGAAAAATGTCACTTGATTAATGACAACAATAAATCAGAACAACTAGAGTTGAACAACTCGACGGCCAGCGTAGTCGTAAAGTCCGTACCGATCTATGTGCACCCCGAAGGAATACAACATCAGACGACCGACAGCGCTTATTTCTGTGCTAATGGTAATGATTGGTTTTGGTTTTCTTTTTTGTTTACGAGTACAATAAAATATAACCGTTAAATAATTTACAAATACTTTGTAGAACAACTGATTGTGTCGACAACGTCTGACTTCCGATACCAACACATCACGGCACCCAAAAACCGAGACGGTATCGTATTCGAGATACAAGCAAGAAAAAGCGCTCATATCCTATTGAGTCAAGAACGCAAACCGACATCGATGATGTACCAAATAGTTCTGGGCGACTTGGACAACACCATTTCATGGATAGGTCGCGGAAAACATGGTAAACAATTTATTTGAAAACATAGACGCCTAAGTCTACTGCAATAACGGTCAATGATGATAAACGATCGTTTTAGGCTCCAGGTAAAGCGATGTATTTATTTTTAATATTTGTTTTTTTTTTCGTATTTTAAGGAAATGGTGTACATTTGACGAGTCGCAATACGCCCGGGATTTTATCCGAAGAAGAACCACGCACATTCTGGATTAGCTGGGAGAAGGGAGTGCTGGCATTTGGATACGGACAGGAAATCCATCAGTACCCGTTGTTGAAATGGAATATGGACAAGAAAATCAAAATTAACCATATCGGGTTCGCGACTATTCTTGGGACAACAGGGCAGTTCAGGGTGTGGAATTACAACGATGAAGCCGGCTTCTCTCAAGTGCTACATTTGGAAACTCCCAATTCGTTGATCACGGGATCAGAATCCGGTACGCTGGTCGTGACCGGAGGACTGAACTTCCCTTTCTTCGTACAGAACGAACCCAAATTCTCCACGAGGTATACGATTAAAAACCGTGACCTTATAATCTCGTGACATGTCGCTTTTTACACTTCATCATTTCTTTAGTTTGGTGTCGTTCCTCTCCACATTCACGCCACTACTCATGTCCGAGCACAACAACAACGGCACGGAGGAAAAATCGTTGGTGGATTTGTTATCGAAAAGCATACCGGTACTGCTGTCGTACCAAAACGCGGATGGATCGTTTGGAGACCATCCAAACGTACCGTGTTATTGGTAAATACAATATTCTTCCAAACGGTCTCATCGAACATCGCTTAAAATAATCGCATGCATTTTTTCTACAATTACGTATGTAGGTGCAATATTCGCGTGCTTGAAATACTATGGAGAAGCCAATCTCACGTCGGTGTAGACTCCGATTTGATCAAAGGACTAAAAACGTGGATTCAAAAACAGGTTTTCGACGACTTTTCAACAGTCGTTAGTCAATCCGACATGGAACTGAACCAAATAGTTTGCGCCGCGGATACTTTAGCCACTCTTATGGAACTGGGCATCGAATCAGAAGTACGTGAAAATAAAACTAATTTATATTCATAAGCATTAGAGCCGTAGATTTAAATATTTAACGAAATATAAAACCTCAAAGAACGCAGTTTTTAAATAAATTAAATAAGAACTGTTTACTACTACAGGATGGACCCATCGTGGATCTACTTTTTATGAAATTACTATTGTTATATTGTCAAATTTGATATTCTTTTCATAGTTTAATTTAATTATAACTATGTATTTTCTAATGATAGAAAAAATAAAAATTTTCCAAAATTTAAAAATCTCAATTCTTAATTCTAAAATATGAAATTTTTTACTCCCATACTTCTGATTTTGAAACATTGAATTAGGATTCTTGTGTACATTACTTATAATAATCCCAAAAAAAAAAATTTTTTTTTTTTTTTAAATTAAATACATAATATACATTATCATTCAGTTATAGTTCGAAAACCAATCTCAACTCACTATAATTTTATTTTAAATTATCTAATAAAATTAATAAAATATCAAAACCGTCCCAACATATAGGTTCAGCAACTAAACCCAATTAAGAACAAAGATGAATTTCTAATTCCATAATTCAAAGTTTTTAAAATATAGTTTTTTGTATTTTCACCATTCTAGTTATAATATATTAGTTTCCCAAATTGTTTATGTCAAGGATATTGATATATATATATATTGAAACAACTGACTCAAATATGATTTTCAATTTTAATAGATCGATTCAAAAATTGCAAATCGCACTAAATCGTTCCTCGAGCAACACTTAAATGCCATCATCAAACCATATCCACTAGCAATAACGACCTATGCATTAATGATAGTAAATAGCAATTTCACTAAAAACGCACTGACGAACCTGCAATCTTTGTCGACCAATCAAGAGAGTGAATTCGGCTGGCCTAAAGTACATCCAACGTCCGATTGGTATGACGACATGGTCCCGCAAAAGAAAGGTGAAAACAGTGAGTACCAAAAAAAGTAGTCATAGTTCTAACTTCTTTTGAAAAATTCTATTCTATTTCAGTTTCGATCGACGAGTTCAAAGCTTCGTTATACTGTTTAATGATTTATTCAGCTAAACGAGAATTAAAATCGTCTGAGCCAATAATTCGCTATCTCTATTATAGAACTAAGATATTAGATACGTACCCAGAGGTAAGTATCTTTATTTCACTTTGAGACAATTTATAAAAACCCATAATTAATGTATGTTGCAGATAGCATATCTAGCCGTAAAAGCATTCGCCATGTACGATAAGATTGGATCGGATCCTCATAGGAAATTGACAATTTCTTTGGCTACTTCTGGCATGGAATTGACCGATACATTAGAACTTGACCCCAGCACGAAATCGCAGTACTTGCATTTGCCATCATTGCCGACAAAAGTTTTCGTCTACGCTACCGGAGCTGGATGTTCGACAATTCAAGTTAGTACCAACACATTAAATAAGTTTTCTTAAACAGCGTAAAATATTATATTAAATAAATAATCATAATCGCTAAACGAACCAATGAAAATAAATGTGGTACATTTACTTTATCTTGAACTTAACTTTAACTTGATCATTACTTTATCTTGAAATAGAATTCACAAAAAATAGAATTAATTAAAATAATATCACATATTTTGGATTGAATCCCTGTTTTTTTTGATCCATTAAATACTATACTACTTAATACTATGATGTAAATTGTCTAATAGTATCTATAACTACACCGGTCATTTTTAAGTTTGATGAAATAATGTTTGCTTTTGAAGGGAAGAGTTCTCTATTCTACGTATACAACCGCAGAAAACGATAAGAAAGCGTTCAATCTGTGGTCGGGAGTCACTGATGTTATACAACCGAGCAAAGGGTTTACTGATGAGATCTACGGACATGCCATTACACTGAGACTGAAAACGTGCTTCAGGTAAGTACGGATACTTAACGACAATCGCGTAGAACACTGATTACTACGTGTTATGTTTGTGCAGGATGAACAACGAGACGGAGGACGCCGTACGACTGGAAGTGAAACTCTTCTCCGGCTATTACTTCGAAAAGATGTCATCCGCTAGCGTGTCGGATGTGCACTACGATTCACATTCCAATCATATTTGGTTCGTCTTCGCTAAGGTAAGCGTAACGTTGTCAACTCTAGAACGAAGGCTAAGCGCGCATACGGTAGAGTGTTCGAGTTTTAAATAGACATTTACAGAGTACTCTGTTCAATTTATCATGAAAATATAAACAAAACGTATTTGTAACATGACGCATTGTTCTTATACGTGGGCCTACTGACGTCATAACGATTGATTTAATCGGTTGCATCGTTTCACACAGGTGAAAACCAGTTGCGTCGTGTGCGTTTCGTATACGGCCAAGAGCATGCAAAAAGTGACTGGACTAAGACCGGCCGTGGCCAAAGTCTACGCGATATCGCGACCGGACCAAAGCTCGTACAAGCTGTTCCACGTGGACGAGGAACAGAACCCACTGGCCGAAGGATTAACCGACATGCAAATCGCCGATTGGATAACTAATGATTCCAACGGTACGTTAGGTGAAGAGGATCTTTGGGAAAGGATAAATTGTTAGGAATGTCTCGGGATTTTCATTCGTTTAACTGTGTGTACTGATGTATTTTTTTTTTTTTTTTTCATAAATCTGCCGACCACCATTACAGACTTGCCGATTGAAAACAATAACCCGTGCAAGTGCAACAATCACTGTGAATCGTTAACTACAGAGAGAACTACTCCAGACGGGAAGACGACGACTGAAACCGTTACCCGGAAGAACGGTTTTGGAAACAATCAGGAAACGTCTACAACGGCCGTGCAGACTGTCACGGAAGTGTTGGTGACACCGAGAATCGCGACCATTCCGATGAAGAGCAAACGGGTACCAGTGAAGTCGACCGGAAACGTGATGAGGAACATGAAGAAGCCGAACAAGAAGAATAACAAGGACAAGGACGCCGGGTCGAAGCACAGGACGGGCGACAACGACTCAGTAGCACCGGGCGTGGAGAGCAATCCGGATACTGTGGCGGTAGTGGGCAAAACGGCCACAGGCACGCTGGGCACGAAAACGGCCACGGGAACATTGGCCGCAGGAACAATAGTCGCAGGGTCATTGGCTGCTGGAGCAATGGGTGGCAAAACGGTAGTAGGAAACGGCACGAGAAACGGTAAGATAGCCGTGAACGGCACGACGAGCAGACCGCCGACGACGGCAAAGGTCGATTTGGCAGCGATCGATTCGCCGACAAAAGCACCTCCGGTTGACGTAGCAACATCCGCTAAAGTCATGCCATCGACAAAAACCGCTGTCCCGGTGGTAGTTACGAGCGTGCGCACCTTTACCATTAACCCGACCACCGTTAAGCCTTCGTCCGCCGCAAGAACGACGACACCCGGAACACTTGGCACTACTGTCACGGTGAACAATAAAACCACCACCTATCCGTCGCTTAAGTCTATGACCACTCAAACATCACGAGCTATATCTTCGTCGACGGTCAAGTCATCTTCGACTTCTTCGCCAACGACCAAATTGATATTGATGACGACACCAAAGCCATCCGTTACTACACCGACGATGACAGCCAAGTCTTCAGCGACAACCATCATTCCGAAGGTGACCGTCACCACAACGACGAGAAGCATGCCGGGACCGTCAGCAACTCCGGTCGCCGACCTCATTATGGACGCAGACCGGAAGACCGCCAGCGACGGGAAGACCGACTCCGATTAATATTAATTACAATCTCTTAATAGAACGTTTTTCGCGGTCGCTCGAGAAACAATATGAATTGCTCCAAAACATGTTTTATTTTATTACGTTATAAACAAACTCAGATTACCAGTACTGCAATGATCCGTGGTATACATAATTTTGAGCGAACTTCCGCTAACTTGCACGTGGGGTTTCATCTATAATATGATTTACTTATTTATTTAGTTATATTTAACTACAATACCATTCAGAGTTTAAATCTTTTTCTTTCCGTTCACGACAGTATGATTAAAATATCGTCCTCACGACGTAATTGTACGATTGTACGTATGCTGTAAACATTTTCATTTCATTTTTAGTAAACCATATCGTCGTCCAAATAGATATGGTTTTCATTTTTAGCGAAAGTTTTTAAAACAATGGTGATATGCACAAACTGGTATATCAACGTAAGCAAAATTATGTTATTTATAGTTTAGATGAACCGTTTTTTGACAATGAGTGACAATCAATAGATTTGAGTTTCAGATGTTACCTTAGTCTTATGAACATTTTTCCGTTTCTGTTTTTATTTTCAAAACACAAATTTAATACATTTCATAAAAAAAAAAAAAAATGCTCAAAATAATATATACTCCAGTTGTATACGTATATATATATATATGCATTTGAATGAGTATATACAAATATATATAGTATACATCTATATATTGTATAGATGGATGTAATATGCCAAATTTTAGAAACACATTTTGGTGCTTTTTGGTTAGTCAATTCGTTTTTCTGTCCAAAAGATGTCCGTTTTGATGATTAGATTTTGTGAGAAACTAAACGGATGTTAAGAGAAGAAAATTAGGTATTATAGTGTAGAATTAATGAATGTAAAAGTAACATACAACGATATTTGCTTTTATAAATTAGATAATTTGTTACACAAGGATTGTCTACTTATATTGTAAAATAAATAGTATTTTTCATATTTCAATAATATTATATTGCACCCGGTGACCATATATTTGACACGAATATAGGCACTGATCTTTATTATATAGTAAAATACGTTATTTATTAATGCACACGTATATAATTCCTGTACGTATAACGTACACGGGCATGCAACATTATTATTATTTTTCACTTTTAAACTGTTTAGGAATATAATTAATATAATATATATATATATATATATGTATTGTATTAATTGTACTTGAACGTATGTTTGTTAAGACGTATATTGTTCGACCCGTAGTTTGTGGAAAATTGTACACAAAAAAAGCATTTATATGACATTATTATTATTACTATTATTATTATAATTGCGTCAAATACGGAAAACTCAATACAAAACTAAACTACTATTATTGTAGTATAACATAATATTATCATAGCTGCTGCGTGTTTGTCGCACAACCGAAAAACACTTTCGATTTGTATTCCGTGTTATCGTTACAGTTTATTTTTTTAATCTTAACGGTTTTAGATAATATTTGGTACTATATTGTATTGTAACGTGTATTATATATTATTATTTTCCATTGAAAATTGTATTCTTTTACCTCGACACGACGACACACGTTGATAATAGTAATATTATTGCGTACGTAGTGCGTGCTGTCGTTTCGGCCACTCTCTTTTTGTACCGATATTGTTGCAAATAAAAGGTGTAGCAATGCTCAGATTCAATATGTTTGCATATTACGTACGTGCACGTATTGAATGCATAAGAGCATAGAGTATATAATATTGTGTTACACGATAGTTATTTTTCGTTTTTCTTTTCTTTTTTTTTTTTTTTTTTTTATTGAACGCAACAACAACTTTACCGCCGTCGACACCGTGACCTGTCGACCTACCGACGGGAGTTTAGTCGTGCACGTGACGAAAAAAAAACAATGTTAGATAAATATTATTGTACACAAACGACGAAAACATATGTGCGCGTGTATATAAATATGTGTGCATGTTTATGACGTTTACGGGGAAAGGAGAGGGGCTCAGGGTTGCGGAGCTCGACTCTCATTTGCCCAGCAATATTTTCCTGGTAGCGCCGAAATTTTGTCCTGCTTGCGTAGCGCCCTTGTTCTGGCCGGCCTGCAACCCAATAACGCCCTCACCAGCCCGCAGCTGCTCCTCGGTCCACTCGCGTCTGTTCTCCTCCGACGGTCTCGGTCCCAGCGACGGGCCCCTCCACTCCGGGTGCTTGTGCGCCTGAAACCGAAAATTCACTCGTTCACCAACGTGTTCCACCGCGGGCCTGTGTCCCGCTGCGACACCGTCACCGTACCGTTCTGCCGATGGCAAATATGGTCATGGTCACTCGGTAAACGTTCTTCTGCTCGAACAGGTCGACGGACTGGAACAGGTCCACGTCCGGCACTCCGTACTTGATGCAAGCCTTCTGGAATCTAGAAACCGTCCCGTTCGTTCAGTGATGTATCTAGGGGCGTATTTAGACTTTCTAGGGGGGGGGGACTCAAATTTTTTCTTTAATTCAGGCTCAAAATTTACAAGTAAAATTATTAGTAATATTTAAATCAGGTGAATCCTTAATTTTTGTGGTTTTTTTTTTTTTTTTAATCCAATGCTGGATCCACTTAGAATCGACTTTTGTGCAGTTCTTTTTTAACACCTGTCTGTGTTTTGAAAATTACGTTTGTATTTTATTTGATTTTTCACTAAGTATGGACCCGACATAAAGCCCAATTCAGTATTCACAACCATACATAATTTGATTTCGTTGTAAAATAATCCACATTAAAGAATTTGTAGTGTGTATCTCGCATATAATCGATTTCTTAAATACTGATTCAGGAGAGGGGGAAGATCGCCCCTTTGCCCCACACCTAAAATTCACCACTGAATGTATCGAAATCGTTAAAACACATGGTTGCCGGTGATCTGACCGTACACGAAACCATCGTGACCATGCAACACCATGTAACGTGAAACGTTATCCAACAAAATTGTTGAACACGATTGGTTAGTAAAACAAAACTGCTATAGGTACGTAAACAGCACCTCGAAATCAACTATTAATATCGAACTCTATATGATGCGCGGCGAACAGAAACAAATACGATGGAATGTTTACGTCTTTTTAAAAACCTAATCGGTGTTTATCACATTTTTAGTTTCACAAAACATAATTAATAGAACCAAACGACGTCAAAAATTGATTATACAATGATTGAATATTCTATACACATATGTTTAAAACGTATACGAAAATTATCCGATTCAGAGCTCAAAGAGTTAACCTAGTATTAATACGATTCATAAATAGGTACGCCTTCACTCGGATTTTCTGTACAAAATTCGACTAACAGAACGAGAAAACTTTGATTGTGAACACTCGATGATTCTAACGACGATAATAATAATAATAATAAATAAATAGTATAAAAAAAAATCCTGCAGTATGCATTACGATTTACAGTAACATATTGTTTAGAAATTTTAACGTTTAAACGTTTGTGGAAACGGTATTTGTTTATAACTAAACAGATGTACATGTTAAAACATATTTTAGGGTAGATCACGGGATAGGACCAACCAAAAATAAATAAAACACAGGATATTTTAGACGTACAATCATATTAATAAACTTTAATAAACGCATTATGTTGGTATGTTAATAAGTTCATAAATAAATGTTAATTATTTAATTAAAGTGCACTTATTATTTTTATTTTGTATTAAGTGTAATATGAATTTATTAAAATAAAAACAACGAGCATATGGCATACATTTTGTTTGTAGCATGAAACAAGTCGGTCTAAAAAATTTGAGCAATTTCGCTGAATTTCGGTTCACATTCAAGATGCAATGTTTTGACTCATAAGCACATGACTTAAGGTACCCCTAAATCAAAAGAAATTGCACACCATTCTCAAAATGTAAGATATGGTGAACGAATAACGTACAATGTTTGTTTTAAAGGTGAAAGTGTACGGAGGCCCCATAAGTTACCTGATTTGATAGTGTGCAACTTTTTACTTTCGGGATATTTTAAGAACACACCAGTATATGTTGTCTTTGTGTCCCAAACATATGACCTAGCAAATTTAAATTGAGTGGAACCCATTATGATTTGTTAGCTTTAATATTAAGAGTAAACTAACTTGATGTATAAAACCTAAAGGAAATAACATAATAAAAGTTTTTACTTTGGTTTTTCACGATATCTTAATTTCCAAGCAAGTAATAAGTTTTCTTTTAAATTGTTATACTTTACATGCTCATAACTTGTTTGAAACTTAAAATATCGTAAAAACTGACTTACAAACATACATAATTTTTTCGCTTTTAAGTTTGATAATTCATCGGATTACAGTTATTACTTGAGGTAACAATATAAAATTGATCATACTGAACTCAAATTTACTAAGTTGTAAGACGAAGACAACACATACGGGTGTGAAGATCTCTTAACTTACGTGCTTGTGAATAAAACCCTCGTCCCTAGGATGAACTTAAGGATTTATTATGAGCGAAAATGTTATTAACTAACAAAGTTTCTTCATTGTATTTACATTAAAATTGTTTCCACCTACTTCTTTCAAGCTAAAAACTAGATGGACGTCATAATACGCTCGATATTCTTTTTAAACATTTAAACGACACTTATTTATGCATGGTAAAATAATAATTAACATAAATATCGATACGTCTAAATTATCCTGAAATAGGATATTTTTCCTGCCTATTTATTTTTGTCCTTATTCCCGTATCCCATTCTATACATAATGTTTACATGAAATGCACTCACTGACTTATGTTATCCATCATCTTATAATCACCACCCGAAGTGTTAATTTTGGGTATGATACCCGGTGCCAGTTTGTTCATCAACTTGCACAGCAAAATACCGTCTCTGAGTGCGTATTCGAACGGTACACCTGAACAGTTTAAACGAGTACGAAGAATTAACATTAACCGACTCGTAACTCTTCACTGTTGTACATGGATATCGTTTAATACAACACGTTTATTACCAGTTGGGAACTTTTCACCGGTCACAGCTTCGATCCATTGCTGGGCTTCTACTTCTTGCTCCGGGTCTCTCTTACCGGCAACCTAAGGCAAAAGACAATTATTATTATTATGAGGTCGGGACTTTTAAGCGTTTGCATGAATTATGTATTTCAGTTCGTCCAGCGTTTGTACAGCGTTAGTAAAAATTCATTGTATACCTTCTATAACATTGCGTAAACATAAGAATAATAAATACTATAGAAAATATAATATTTTTCAGTAATTTTGAACTGAAGAGGGACTTTTTAGATGTTTTAAAATAAAATAAAATTTAAATATGTATTAACAGTCTTAGAAAAACATTAACTGAGTAATAGACCAATTACCAGTAAACCACATTCAAATTATTAACTTCTACGCTAGCTGACAGATTTTATATTTATCTACTTCATTTTATAGTATGTAAGCATTTGATAGTAATAATTACGTTTTTTTAACGAAATTAAATTTTTATTTATAAAACGTAGATTGTAGTTTGCGTTTTTATAATCGTATATTATAATTTAAAACTATATTCATATTGCCATAAGTCTTAATATTATGACAGTCATCAAGAGGTGAAATCAAGAGTCTATTTTTCACAGTTTCACAGTACATCATTCAAAATTGATCAGTTATAACCAGTGGTGTATTCGCATTTTTTTTTTTTTAGGGTATACGCTCAGCACATAAGCGTTTATTGGTAGTAAGGGGGAACTAAACTCCTTAAAAAAAAAATGTTCTTCCTACCTAAACTCAAAATTACATAATATGATGAAGACGTGGGATATACCACCGCCAGACATTTTTCCCATGAGAGGGGGAAAGTAAAAAATGTCAAAAAATATTTTTTGGGGGATTTGAAGTGGGCGCGTGCCCCCATAGTCCCCTTGGATCTACGCCTGCTATGGAAGTCTACATTTTAAACTTATCTTTAATTAACTCATAGGTATATATCATATTTGAAACATTATATTGATGTTAATATTTATTTTCATGAAACTTAATGTTTTATTATATAAAATAATATTTTAGTATTAATTTAAAATAATTTGCACAAAAATGTGACGAATAAATACTGATTAAGTGACAAACTGACAACAATATAATAATTAATAATCACAATCTATCCAAAACATCGTATACAGATCGGTTAATATTGTAATAAATTGATAAACAGAACATTTTTACTGTTGATTTATTTTTAACAATTATAATATAATATAAATAATATAATATCGCACGTGTCCACCGGTATTCTGATGTATAGTATGTAGACGCTTAGCAGTTTCCCATCGTCTTTGCAAATACAAATAAATTGTTGAACACGATTGATTAGTAAAACAAAACTGCTAAAGGTACGTAAACAGCACGTCGAAACCAACTATTAATATCGAACTCTATATGATGCGCGGCGAACAGAAACAAATACGATAGAATGTTTACGTCTTTTTAAAAACCTAATCGGTATTTATCACATTTTTAGTTTCACAAAACATAATTAATAGAACCAAACGATGTCAAAATTGATTATACAATGATTGAATATTCTATACACGTTGGGGAGAATTTAATCGAAGTTTATGCGGACACGAAGCTATTTTTGGATATTGGCTATAGTGTATAATAATAATAATAAATTCTATACTGTTGTTATTTTATAATGTGTGCCTTATGATGATTAAAAATTAGAAGTTTGCGTATAACCATTATGTTCTAATGATTAGTTAGCGTATACACATGATAGATGAATTTTTTTAAAGGTATACGCATAAATCTAAAAATAGGGATCCGAGTATATGGCATATACCCGCGTATACCCTTCAATACACCATTGGTTATAACTGAATAAATACTTACAAAATAAACAATGAATATGCAATTTATACTTGTATTATTATAAAATGTCTCAAATGTATTTGCATAGTTATTTCATTACGAATTAGTTTTTTCGTTATTCTAAAAACTTTATTTAATTTTAGAAACGTAATTTCAATTTTTTTCAACCATCATCTACATCAGTGGTCTTCAACCTTTTGGACCCACGACCCACTTTTCTTACCAAACATTTTTCGCGACCCATGTCAACTTCGTTAGCCATGAACCAAATAAAAAAGTTAAAATTGCTTAATGTATACCATTGTATAAGTGCTTTTATAACTGAATAAATTAATATATATATATATATATATATATATATATATTTATATTTTTTTTTGGTATCTAAGTATTATTTAATTTTTATTTAAGTAATGATACAAAAAAAATGCACATAATTGTATCGAAAAAAATATATGTTATACCTAATAAATAAAAAAAAAATTAGTGCGATATTTGTCCCAGACTGTTTTCAAACAAAATACCTCCACCTCGGCTTAATTTCACACAGTACAGCTTATAGATGTATAAAATGTAAATGAGTTTTATGGATTAAGTCTAGCTATCGCTTTATGATTACATTGTTTGATTATTTATTCTTTTTTTTTTAAAAAAAAAAAATTAAGGCTTCAACAGCATATGTTACATATGTTAGGTGTTAGATTTAAAATTAAAATATTATATACGACATATTATGTAGGTGAAATTAGGTGTAAATTAATATTTACTAATAATATATGTGATACTTAAGAATGTGATAATTTTCAGAGTTTGGCTTTCGCTAAATTCTTTTACTATGTTGGATGTCATGCTTAGGTCGGTGCATATTTAGGTAAATTGTATACACTCCTCCACTATGTGTTTGACCGTTAATTATTATTGGCATTTGTCGCATAATGGTTGAGGTTTTTTTCTAATTAAATATGAGCGTATGAGAAAAAAGTGTTCATTCTAATCTTCTACAAATATAAAATAGTATAAAATAGTACGGTTTCGGATTTATACGGAAATTGTTTATACGATATCATATAACATACATAATATAATATATATGAATATAATTTTTTTAAATTTTAAATAGAAGACCCAATCTTAAAGCCTACGCAGTGGTGTACCTGGGGGGGGGGGCAACAGAGCATTTGCTCAAATAATTTATCCATGTTTTTTTGAGAAAAAAAATTATAATAATATAGAAAATAATTCTTAAAAATGATTAAACAATAATAATGTTCAATTTTAAAAGCAGTAAGATTCATTAAACGTCAGGTGCAGATCCAGAGTAATTATTAATGAGAGGCCATTTTATATTTTAGTCGTAATATAATATATTAAATTCAATAATTCTATAATATTATAAGTATTACCATTTATCATATATATTTCTTGAAACTGTAAAATAATAAACTTTCACCTTAAATTTTAAAAAAAATTAGGTAGATACATTGAAAAGAAAATTTTTTATTTAAGAACAATAAAAAAAAATGAAAAATTATAGAGCGAAATGCAATTTTTTTTTTTTTTTTGGTTTTTGAAAACATGTCACTACATAGTTGCTATAGAAAAAATATAATTTTTATAATTTTATCATTAATATTATAATTTGTTTTTCATTTTGTATCGTGACGATATCGTCACCAGTTAAATGTTTAATCAATTGCATGAACATAATTTGCAGATATGCTTGTATTTATAATCATCATGTATGATATCGTTGTATGTAAAAATATTTTATAACAGTGAACAGTCGTACTTCATAATAATCAAAACGGTTAATTATATTTTAAATATTTATCAAAATTGACCTAACTCCAAGTTCTATTTGAGAAACGTTAAATAAAACATGAATCTTTTCTTTATTGAGAACCTTCGTACATAGAATATCTTCGAATTTGATACGTTGCCAACCGAGGGTTTATTTATTTCATATTTAAGACCCGCGATAATATTGAAAGATAAATCGAATACAAACTCGATTATTGGCACGCACGGCACGATCCAAATCATTATAATATATTATGCACAATAAAAACTTGTAAGTCAACACGTGGCCCGGTGAGTATCATGTTACTCCCCGTAAGTATAATTTTACATTTATTTATTTAATGTATTTTCAAACGTTCACGTACTGTGCCCAATACATACAACAGCTGAATTAATATAAAATCAATTACTTTTATATAACAACACATGCAACCAGGCCCATATTTAGAAGGGCACGAGTAGGCACATGCCCGGGAGCATCAAGTCTCAGGGGCGACAAAATATTTAAGCAAAATTAATTTTAAAAATTATGAACCTAATGAAAAAAAATAAAATAGTAAGTTTTATTATGTTATGATTTGTAAATCAAAAAAAAATTGTATTTTTATTATATTATAAAATTTGTCAATTAAAAAAATTATTAAACGATTTTCATTTATAAGTTTTATAATAAAGAATCTCGATTATGGACGAAATAAGAAGTGTTATATTATTATTATTTGTTTATAAATTATATGCCCGGGGGCGCCTAATTTTTAAATACGGGCCTGCATGCGACGAAAACGAATCACTATCTAAGCTCATCCGTTGTCCCACGTCTCCGTCGGGCATTCCATACTCATACAGTATACAGTAGGATAATGGTAATAAGAAGGTACCCCTAAAATTATCATTCGGTCGATTTATCGCCACCTTGAATCGCAGTATTAAAATAAGGATTATATCGTTTGTATATTTAGACCACGAATAATATAATATTGAATGCGGTTCAAATGCGCATATGAGTCAGACTTAGTGGCTAGATCTCCCACCCACGTGCAAAAATACTCATGGATGACGTCTCTAAGACTTTAAATTGGACACAATACACATAATTAATTGTGGTCTAGTGACCATGGCCTCAAAATCGAGATAAAATAAAATCTACAAAGTTCATTAAAATGATAACATAAGATACAAAATAATAATGTCGTCTAAACTGCAGCAACAATATTTAACGAGATTGAATATTATTATATATCATGAAATTTATTTAAATCACACTTATACATTGTTGAGTTATCTATTTTCAATAACCATTACAGATGCATTTGCAACTTTCAATTTTTTAGTAAGCTTGATAATATATATTAATTTTAATGATTTTTTAATCAATATAAAAATTGAAAAAGTTTAAAAAATCCTATATTAAATTTATTCCATATTTTACAAAAATTTTAATTTATATTCTCCCATCTTCAAATATTAATAATTTAAAATATTATATTATTCAAACATGGAAATAATTATATCTATATTAAATTAATGAACCTAAATTTGTAATATTACAACATAAATATCCTCATTAACAATAAAAAAATAAATACTAATATATAATTATTGTTACAGTAAAATCCTTGTATTGTTGATCATTAACTAATACAATTCATTTAACGAACGTTTTGCATTAATCAATTAGCATTTATGTTAAAATCAGATTATCACTGTAAACACAGAAATTTAAAATACTTTAAATATTATTAAAATAATCTTGTGGAATGATTTTATTTTATTTATATTCCATATTAAAATAATTATAAACAAAAACAAACAGTTCATGTAAAAAATTTTTTTTTTTTTGCTGCTTTTTCACATTGCTAAAAAAACTACTATAAGGAAAACAAAAAGGAACTCCAGATATTGTCTGTCTCAAATATCTGTCAAATTTAATAAATATAATAGGATGAAATTCTTGTTTATTTATGCTACTTTAAAAAAATGTCCATAAAATAAACAAAATGTTTTTTAATTAATATTATACTTTATTTCACCCGGTATATAAATAATTTAAATCATATTTAATATGATGCAATTATTAAGCAATAGAATATTTAATATTAACAATAATTTTTTAAACTAAAACATGGTAAAAACTAAACTAACATAACATAATTTTTGAGCAATTTTAATCGATTTTATTAAATCGATTAAAGCATATTATTTTACCTGCCACAAAGGACGTCCACTAGGCATGTTGTATGTGTTTAATGGAAACTAAAAAAATGAATTGGTATTTAAAAAATGATAGTTGAAATACTTTGTAAAAGTTATTGCAAAACAATCGTGTTAGTCGAATGATAACTAAATAGCTTCTGTGCAAAATAAGCGGTTACACTGCTATGCCAATGCAGTTTTTCTAGGTTTTTGGAAGGGCGCGTTTGTCCGATAATCCTTGGCCCACGCAAATATAATACGTACACTTTACAGACTAATAATAATAGAATGAGAAAAAAATAGCAAATTAATAAAACATCACATAATCAAACAATTTAGAGCATGGATCAAATTATTTAAAGTTATATCCTGATATCAACAGTCCGAAAAAAAATCACTCACTTTAACTAAAAAATGTCATTAATGTATAAACTAATGTCAATACTAAAAAAATATCTTCACGATTAAATTAAATTTTACATTATTTTAAAACCTATTCTCATAAAACAACAAATTCGAATCAAATATTATATAATTATTCTTCATATTAACAACAATAATTTAAAAGACAATATATTCATTGTTGTGATCTAATAAATTGGATAAATTATAAAAAATAACTTCAATATACACTGTTTTATATTTCTAATTTTATCGATGTATAAAAGATTAATCTTTAATTTATTTTATTTCAAAGGAAGATTTTTGGATAAATAATTTAAAAACTAGGAAAATGTAAGTTATTTTATTTACATTATCGGCTTATATTCTTTATTTATTTTTATATTAATCATTATTTCATTTAAAAGCTATTTATATTGATATTATTACACCAATTTGGATATTTTAAAAAAACAACAAATTATTTTTAATTTATCGTAATATATAATTTATTCATTAAAAATTAATAAATATTTCTATTAATATCAATATAAATAAAATATAAATTATATTAATTGATATCAATGATAATTACTAGAAGTTATTCTCCTATTTTACTCATTCCTACAATTTTAATGGCTCCAAACTCATCCATGTTAACTTAAGCATATGTGATCTTAACTTTAATTTTACTCTTTTTCTTTATCCGCGTGCTCACATTGACCTAGTTACTTTTAAAGCGTTTAAAGTATTTTGGTTCATTAAAAGAATACCAGCTGAATTTAAGCTTACTAACATTCTTAATTGAATTTATTGTGCGTTTGTGAAACTAATTGTTTAGTACCTATGGCTCAATTATTTGGGATCCTCCGGCAGCTGATACTTATTAGCAACTTGTATGAGTTCAATGAAAGTTCTTTAGCTCTATGATTACACATTGATTAAAAATTCTGTTATTATGATAAAAAAATTATTATTACTATAAAATATTATATCTTCGTTTCTACTCACTAGTTCTTCATCTTTTAAATTTACCTTAGCTGATCGTCGTCAAACACATAATCTTTCATTTCTCCATAAGCTCTTCTCTGGTTCAGTAGATTCCCCTTCTCTACTAGCATTAATTAACTTTAAGGTTCCTCTTTGGTGTACATTTACTTTTCTTATTCTGCATTGTAAAACTAATTACTTATCAAATGAAGCTATCATCCGTATGATGAAGTTAACCAATGAAGATTCGTTATTTCGTTTTTGAAAAATGTTTTTTTTTCTTATACATAATGTTAATCTAGATTTTTATATTTTTTTCTTTTACAATACTATTTTTATGAATTGGGCTAATGTTTTTTTGATTTTAATAAATAAATAAAAATAATAGAATATAGAGAAATAAAAATTATTCTATGAAGTAATATATTATATGAAATATATCCAAATATTTACGTCTGATTTCGATTTAAACTTATCATTATGTATATAATACGTACCGAGTATAAAAATAAAAAAATATTTCATTTTTAATTAAAAAAAATGTAACTTCAACTAAAATTAATTTAGTAAAATAATATAAGTTTTATTAAAAGTTAATATTTACATATATTACGCAATGATACTCATAACAATAACTTAATGTAATCTGTAATAATACTTAGTTATTATGTTAAGAGTATTAATTATAAAATTATTTTATTTTTATACATTTTAAATATTTTTTATACAGTTTTAGTTTAGAAAATTTTACTATTATGGTATATTCTAAAAATGTATATTATTTTACTTAAATTTGACTATTTTCAAGTGTATTAGATTTCAATTAAATCATGCAGTGTATTAAATTGATAAAAGAGTAAGTATAATTAATCTCTTTGAGCCATAACGAATATATAGGATACGACAAACTGGACTGCTTCAGCCTAAAATAAAGTTCGCCAATAATCTTAACCTATATTATAATTTTGGTTGTTCTTAAATATAATAGAAAAAAAATTTGTTATGAATAGATACAGTTTATTTTCAATTTTTAATATGGTACTGTATAGGTTAGTTGTACATATAATACATATATAAATGAAATTTTCTTTTAAATACTTCATATCTTATTATTAATGTCAATGTATTTTCATATTTTCGACAAAAGAAAGAAAATTGAAATTTAAGTTCAATAATTTCAATTTTAATTATTTCTCAACAATTTAGAATACTAAATTTTTATAGATCAATGTCTTATTAAAAATATTTGTAATTATAACATGTATACCTTATAATGATTATATAATGATTAGTACCTATATTAAATATTGTTAAGCCGATCATTTGATCAGTAGTTTAACGACAAATGAAAAATATCAGAAGAAAACTGATCATAATATATATCACAAAAGGCTGCATGAGTAATGTTCAATGCTGTATATTTAATATTTATAATATAATATAATACACCAAAAATATTGTAACCACTCAATCGTTTAAAAACAACAATGAAAACTCACATCATATTCATAGGCGTAATATTATATGTAAATAGTTATTGTTATTATTATTATTAATATGAATGTATACTTTGTATAATATGCGTATTTAAAATCCAAAATTATTCAAACTATGTAATATATACATACGGTTTTCAAATAATTTGTATCAACGTTTTCTAGACTTTTACTCGTACATAAATAACTCCTTCTCTCATAGTATAATAATTTAGAGAATAGTTGAACTTAAATTAATGATTTTTCATCAACTAGAAATGTCTTAAAAATATTTTTATTTGCCATTATTTAATTTAATTCTAAACCTTTCTCAAATATAAATGAGAAATACAAAGAAACACAATATCCAACAAATATATCAAATAAAAGCAAGATGAAAATATAATCTGGGATAAGACATAAACAAAAACTCACTAATTTTAATAAACAAACTGATGATACTATCCAAAGAACATTGTATAATACGTAACTGACGATGAAACATATGAACAAGTTTTATCAATTCGATTTAGCAACTATTTTTTCTTTCTATCATTCGCTCCGCTATACATTAAACACCTATTTCCTCAACAAATTGTATAAACCAATATTAGAACTATGTTTATATGCCAAAAGTAACAACTTTCCAAATAAAATATTTTGTGGTTAAAAAAACAAATTATTTTTCATATAATTGAGAATTAGAACTTGTTCATCCTAAGTTTTTAATGCCAAATTATTTACACATGAAATAAAATTACCCTGAGGTGACACCAGTTATTTTTTCATTATTTTTTTTAAAAATTCCATTTATGTCTGTACACTTATTAAATTCAATGTACTCACATTTATTTTTTGTTAGCTGAAAATCTATGTAATATTACGTTTCCGAAATACTCTAAAAAAAAATTAACTCACTTAAATATTTTAATTGATAATTATCAACTAACATTAATGAATTATACATACAAAAATATTGAATTATCGTGACTGCCATTTATAACTATAATATCTTTAGAAAAAATTGTCACTTTTAAGCGATTTACACTATGCAAGCCTAATTTTAAGTTGAAGTTGAATATACTTTGAATTGTTGAAAAAGCTGCAGATGTGTACTTGAAAAGTACTTGTAAACACTGTAGCTATAGTTATTTTGTCACTCGATGTATTGTAAATTATATCAAAACAATAAATTAAAATAATAATTTATCCACGACTGTAAATATTACTGAACAATTTATATTATTGTTTTTTTTCACAAGATTTTATTTACGTCGATGATCACTGTTATTTGTTATTTGTGTTATTATTAATCTTAAAAATGTATATCTTATTACGTACAATAATAATACTAGCGATGACAAGGAATACGCAGTTGAAACATGCTGTACTCAAAATTAACTCACTCTACGATCTCTAGTTTTAACAATTGTTGATAAATGATCCATAAGAAGACAACGACGATGTATAGTAATTGAGCTGAAATCAAAATTGCCAACTATGATAATATTATTTTCGTACAATCATAGATTACGTTCAGTATAGTATGTTATACCATGTCTAAATAATCTATCTTGTCGTTCCACGTTTACGAAGTGTAATTCCTATCTATTTTTGATCCTCACGAATAAGAATCGTTAGGGCTAAAGTTTATATAGTTACATCTATTGCAACGTAAAAAAAGTAGATGATGTTTACTCTAAACTATTTTTACTCGAATGACGAGCATATATTTATGCGACGAGGGTAATTATAATTCCCAAGAGTAATGTTATTATGGTTGTCACGCCCGCATAGTGGGTAGTGGCACAGTTTTCTTATAACGAACCAAGAAAGAAAACCTAAGCGGATCTCTATAAAAATAAAAAATAAAAATAAAAACGTGGTTTCACTGTTGTACTCACGTTGCTTTCACAATGAAATCTCTCGATGTTATTAATATATGTATATTATGCTCATCGCACTACATGACCAAAAGTGTAATTAGGATTTTTCCTAGAGAAGGGGAATATCTTCCAAATTAAAATATTAGTAACAATGGAGTTAAATTAACACAAATAAAGTAAATACATCCGTCTTACTTTTAAGAAACTACAAAATTCCTGACAGACAACATAAATGTTAAAGTTGAAAAGCGGTTAAAAAAAGCTCAAAGATAAGGGTATAACCCATACCCATTATGCAAATACGTCATTGCATGACCTAACCTAAATTAACTATTTTATCATTTATGGTTCAACTTTATAAACAACGGGTAAATTAACTAACCAATAAAACGAAATCAGTCTACGGTTTAGTAAGATTTAGTATTTAAATAATATTTCACTTTT